ATCGAGTCCGTGCGGCGGATGCATGTGAACGATTCGCTCGACTCACTGAAAATGGCAATTAGCCTGGGTCTCGGCGGTTCTGAAGCGGTGGTGCTCACCGGCGGAGTGTCGAAGGGCGCCTACGACTTCGTCCCCGACGCCGTCCGCGCCGAAGGGGGCGACGTGCTCTTCCATCGCCTCCGCGCGCGCCCAGGACAGCCGACGCTCGGCGCGATCGCCGGCGGCAAACCGATCATCGGGCTGCCGGGCAATCCGCTAGCAGTGCTCACCGCCGGACGCCGGGTGTTGGCGCCTCTCCTAAAGCGCCTCGCCGGTTTGGCGACGTTCGATCAGCCCGCGTCGCACGTTACGCTAGACGCCTGGAGCGGTAAGCCGCTCCCGCTCACCTGGTGGCGACCCGTGACGCTCACGGCGCCGGGCGTTGCGAGGCTCGCAGCGCTACAAGGCTCCGGCGACGTGTGCGGCCCCGCGATGAGTGACGGCTTCATCGAGGTCCCACCCGAACGCGCCGACGCCGGCCCCTATTCGTACTACTCCTGGCGGATCTAACAACGACATGGCCTCGACCGAAGACCCCGCCGCGAAGCTCTCGCACCTCGACGCCGACGGCCGTGCACGGATGGTGGACGTTGGAGGCAAGCCAGTAACCGACCGTCGTGCGGTCGCCGAAGGCCGCGTCCGCGTTGGCGCCGAAGTCGCCGCCGCGATCCGCAGCAATTCGCTCAAGAAAGGCGACCTGCTGCAAGTCGCCCGACTCGGCGGCATCCAAGCGGCGAAGCGGACTTCTGACCTCGTGCTCCTCTGCCATCCGCTGCCGCTGTCGCACATCGACATCGACGCACGGCTCGATGACGATGACGTCCTGCTCACCGCGTCGGTCCGCACCGCGGGTCAGACAGGCGTTGAGATGGAAGCCCTCGCCGCCGTCGCCGGCGCTGCGCTCAACGTCGTGGACATGGGCAAATCGCTCAACCCGGCGATTGAAATCGTCTCGCTCCGCGTCGTCGAGAAGACCGGCGGCAAGAGCGGCCCAACCACATGCAGGGCGGCTGGCTTCCGCGTTGCAATCCTCACCATCAGCGACAGCCGTACCGCCGGCGCCGCCGAAGACACCGCCACGCCGCTACTCGTCGAAGCGTTACAGAACTTCTTCAGCAGCGAGGTCATCGCTACCCAACTCGTCGCCGACGACCGTAAAGCAATCGCCGACCAGCTACGCGATTGGGCGACCGGCGACGGCGCGCCAACGCTCATCCTCACCACCGGCGGCACCGGCGTCGGTCCGCGCGACGTAACGCCTGAGGCGACGCTCGATGTCGTCGAGCGCACGCACCCGAGCCTCCTAGAGCTCGCCCGCGCGCGCTGCCTGCCGGGCAAGCCGCACGCCTACCTTTCGCGCGGCGTCGCCGGCGTACTTGGCAAGACGCTGATCGTCAATCTACCGGGTTCACCGAAGGGCGCCGTCGATACGCTACGGCTGATCGCCGACGTTTTGCCACACACGTTGGAGACATTGCGTGGTGAGGAGCAGAGTCACCCGTAGGGCTACCCGCGGCTAGCGCCGACGGCTCAATGACGACACCTCGCAAGGTGTGACCCGTCGGCCCTAGCCGCGGGTAGCCCTACGAACAGGTGCGCCGCCAGAACTCACGCCGCGACGCGCAGCTTCGGCGCCTCGCTCTCCGTCCGCGGCACGATCGTCTCTAGCAATCCGAGTATCTCGGTTGGCGATCCATCCACGACGTCTTCCAACTGCGAGATCTCGTTGAGCACACGCACCAGCGGCTGCGTGTCGCAGTCCGCCGTCATGATCTTCTCGTGCGACGTTGGCTTGTGCTGCTCGCTGTCGTTGTAGAGCTCTTCGTAAAGCTTCTCGCCTGGACGCAGGCCGGTGATCTCGACCGAGATGTCTTCGCCTTCGCGCAGACCCGACAAGCGGATCATGTCCTTCGCGAGGTCGAGGATCCGCACCGGCTCGCCCATGTCGAGCACGAAGATCTCGCCCCCCTGCCCCATCGTCCCCGCTTGGATGACCAGCTGCGCGGCCTCCGGGATCATCATGAAGTAGCGGTTGATGTCCGGGTGCGTCACGGTGATCGGCCCGCCTTGAGCGATCTGCTGGCGGAAGATCGGGATCACGCTCCCCGCCGAGTCGAGCACGTTGCCGAACCGCACGGTCACAAACCGGCACGCCGAGCCGACGCTCTTGGCCTGCACGTAGCGCTCCGCCAGCTGCTTGCAAGCGCCCATCACGCTGGTGGGGTTCACCGCTTTATCGGTGCTCACCATCACGAAGCTCTCGGCGCCGGCGGCCTCGGCGGCGTCGGCGACGTTGCGCGTCGCCAATGCGATGTTCTTAATTGCCTCGCCCGGGTGCTTCTCCATCAGTGGCACATGCTTGTAAGCCGCCGCATGGAAAACGATCCTTGGCCGATGCTCGGCGAACACCGCGTCGAGCCGGTCACGATCGTTTGTGTCCGCCAGCACAGCGTCGACAACGCCCGGCGCCAATGTCTCAAGCTCGCGTTCCAGAAAAAACTGCCCGGTCTCCGAACGGTCGAGCGCAACGAGCTTCTTTGGTTTGTGCTTGAGCAACTGCCGGCAGATTTCCGAACCAATCGACCCGGCGCTGCCCGTGACAAGCACCGTCTGTCCCGTGATCCATTCTGAAATCGCGCCGTCGTCGAGCCGTACCGGGTCGCGACGAAGCAGGTCCTCGATCGAGACGTCGCGTGGACCGACCGAGACGCTGCCGCGCAACAGCTGTTCATAAGTCGGCAGCACGCGCACCGGCACGCCGACGCTCTGCGCTCGTCCCATCAACGATCGGACCACATGCCCAGGCAGCGAACCGGTGATGAGCACCTCTTGGGCTGCAAACGTGGCCACCAAGCGTTCTAGGTCGTCGGGTACACCGACAACTGGCACGCCGCCGATCCGCTGACCAATCTGTCGCGCATCAGGATCAACAAAGCCGATCGCACGGAGCGACTGCTTACGCCCCAGCCGGAGCGTCCGCAGCAACGTCTCGCCCTCGTCATTGGCGCCGACGATAAGGACCCGCCGTACGGCCTCGGCGCCAAAACTCGCCCGTAGGTCGCGAAACGCCCGCGGCGCCGACCGCAGTAGACCCAAAGCGAGGAACGTCGTTCCCCAATCGATCAGCAACACGCCACGAGGAATCGATACTTCCGGCAGCAAGAAGGCGTCGACAAACGTCATCCCAACCGTGCTCCAAGTCGTCGCCTTGGCGATCGTGAGCAGGTCGTAGAAGCCGATGTAGCGATTCACGTTCTGGTCGAGACGATGCCAGCAAAACGAGAATAACTTGACGCCGACGGCGCAGAGAGCGGCCACGGACATGCCAGCCACATGCGACTCGGGGATCGGCCCCCCGAAACGAAGTGAGTAGGCGACGACGAATGTGACCGCGGAGATCGCCGTCAGCACAAGCAAAAGAGTTAATCGACGTAAGAGTGCGGTCATCGCGCCACCGTTTCTGGTGAGCTGTGTGCGTCGGATTCGACGATGGGGAGACGACGCGGCGCAAGGAAACGCGACACGGTCCG